AGACTAATCTCTAAGATTCAGAGCAAAGAGCTGTAAGAATTCACATGGCAGGAGGTATGAGTTCAGGAGACCATTAATTACCAGTGTCATGAGTGGAAGAGCTCCAGGAAGTAGAGTGGGTAGCATCATGTGTCCAGAAGGAAAGCCGGAAGAAGCGCTGGATGATCTCCCTGGATGGGTGTTACTGTGCCAGGGGCTCTCACAGAGGCTGTAGGCCATTCAGGTGCTGTTATGTCACCGAGCAGACACTCTGGTGTTAAAGGTCACAGCAGACTCCTGGAATTTCCAGGGTGGGATCCAGAGTTGCTCTGTACAAGTTCACCAGTCACACCAACCAGTGTGCTAGTAAGGTGTAGCAGTCTAACACTTTTTGAGTATGCAGACGGTGTACCCCTTTTTGGCCAGTGCAGCAGCTATGAATCTCTGGAACCTTGAAGAGTAGGGCTTTTTTGTTGTTGTTTGTTTGTTTGTTTGTTTGTTGTTTTGTTTTTTCCCATTACAAGGAGACAAACTGAGGGTTGAGCTTGGAGTTCTGAGGTAAAGACTGTCTCATTCATTTGAAAGTTCAATATTTTAAGTACTCACCAGATCTCAGATCAGTGGTCTGGGCACTAGGGATGGAACAAAGAGTGAGATGAAGTCTCTGTCAGAAGTAGCTCACATTCTAGCCAAGACAGAGGACACACACACACACACACACACACACACACACACACTCATATACACACACGTGCATGCAGTCAGTCATGCACACACTAATACACACAGGCACACGCATGAACATTCATTCACACATACTCACACACTCATACATACACACATAGTAATACATGCTATGAAGGAAAGTAAAATTAGATATGAAGAATACAGAAATGGGATGGGAAAGGAGGGGAGTGTCAGTTTATATTTGTGGTCACACAAGGGCTCTCTGTACAGGTGACAGTGCAGGAACTAGAGAAAAAGATTGTGCAAACCACATGCTCATCTGCAGGAAGAGTATTGTACGTTAAAGAAATAGAAAAATACTAAACATTTTCAACAGATTCAATCAGTGAGGAGAAGGTGGTTGGAGCAGAGGGACGGAGAAAATACCAGAGAATCAAGAGAAGGACATTCTGATGGCCATGGGGAGGACTCCAGGTTTTACTGGGCATGAAATGAGAAGTCCTTGAAAAAGTTTGAGCAGGCAAATGTCATGATGGGAAATTCACTCCACAAAGCTTGACACAGCTACCATGGTGGGAGAAGCAAAGGCAGGCTTGGTCATTTCTGTGGTAGTCCAGGATGGAATGATGGCAGCATAGACCCAGATCAGGGTGGAGAGGGAGCAGGGGAGCTTGCAAAGGTGTGGTTCTGCTCACACTGGGAGGGGATTGGAGAGAGGATAAAATACCAAGTGGCATAAAGACTAAAGGAAAAATGAAGCCATTGCCAAAGTTTCAGTTTGAAAAACTGGAAGAATGTGCTGGGATAGGGAAGGGATGGGGAAATAACATAAGTTTGGTCTCACTGGAGACCAAAATTAGGATGAGAGTGACTTGGGCCCTACCATAAAACACCCTTTCTAAAACCCCAGTCAAAGGGAATCGGTTTGAGTTCTTCATACAGAGGAGGGTGGGAGTGGGGTGGGGATTGTCCCAGCACAAGACGGAGTGGTTGGGAATGGACTCTAAACCAGCTGCAAGCAGATAAGATAGAGCAGAGAATGGAAGGTGTGAAACTGTTCCCAAAGAGCCCGAGGTGGAGCCTTGGCTACAACAGAGCTGCAGGGAACCCCAGGGGAATAGGGTAGAGGATGACAACGTGAGAGCAGTCAGCGAGGCTTCTTCCAGGAAGAAGTGGATCGATCTGAGCTTCCAAGGAGGTGAACTTTGGCACAGAGACAGAGGGAGTAAAGAAACAAGGGCAGTGAGTGTGTAAGAGAGATGAAGGAAGTCAGAGCTGGGAAGAATTAGGTGTCCTGGAGACCCCTGAAAACACTGCCGGCTATTGCCATTGATTGCCCTCAGTTGACCACCAGAAATTGATAGTAAGACCCTATTGCTGAAAATGTCACACACACTTTGATCACAGGGCATGGAAAAGTCAAGTTGGTGCTAAGAAGCTTCCTCCCTGCTAATTAGTTTTCATAGTACTGTAAAGTGTTATGCCCTGTGAGGTTGATTGGCATGGCAAGATACGCCTATAGGTACCCTAGTGGCCTGAATGTTGTGGGGCAACCATCATTTTCTGATGCATTTGAGGTCTGTCCCACAGAAATACATGCCTGGTACTGCAAATATGGTTGGGGAGCTCATAGGCCGCAGCAGTAAACCTTTTACAGTTATTTTTCTAAATGGACATAGTATCAAACTGCCCTATAAATTCCTGTCTCTCAGGCAAAGCCTGGTGGCATACACCTTTAATCCCAGCACTCAGAAGGCAAAGGCAGGCAGATCTCTATGAGTTTGAGGCCAGCCTGGTCTACAACGCTAGTTTCAGGACAGCCAGGGCTGTTACACAGTACACAGAGAGGCCCTGCCTCAAAAAGCCAATCAACCAACCAAACAAACAAACAAACAACCAACCAACCAAAAGTCCTGTCTCTCTAGCCATACATTAGTGCAGCTCTAGAGCTCATCAGAGAAGGATTTTGTGCACTAGATGCCCATTAATGCAGAGTCCCACAAAGTACAGAGAATAAGTGCCTAGGGAGTACTCATCCACAAACGGGACATCTCTATCTCACACAGCCCTTCTCCCTAAGGCCCAGGAACCACCTCAGGAGAGGGAGCCAAAGTATTTTAAGAGCCAGAGGTCAGGGAGGATCTGAGAGCAACACTGTCTTTTTTACAGGACAGGACCACTGCAGTTATGAATTCACAGCAACTGTGGTTAATATGTTTTCTGTACCCTGAAAATAGATTTCTCCACTGACGAAGTAAGCCAGCTCACGACAAATTTGAAAAGTAAAAGACAAGGTTTACTTGGGCAAAGCAACTCCTGAGTGATTCTCTAGCCCCCAGAGATTGAGGTGGGAGAAGGGAGAGGAAGAAAATCACATGGCTGAACTAAATGAGGGGGATTAAATACCCTGTAAACACTTGGTGATGTGGCACCACAAACTGAGTTTGTGCCCAAGTATGGTATTCTTTGGGTGGGTCAAGGGTGGTAGGGGGTGTCTGGGGCTGCTGGCAACTTCAGGGAAAGAGCCAGGAACACGCAACTGGGCTCTTGTTGGCTTTTCTTTATTGGAGATTCTTTACAGGCGGGGTCTAGAGAGAGAAATCGGACTTCCTGGAGCAAGCTGGAGGTTCCAGCTGAACAGTGATTGCCTACACAAGATCAATCCAGTCAACATTTTAACTTGGAGAGGAACGAGCTAATAAACCCTCACCCCTAGTCAAGGAACTAGTGACCACTGATGGCTTCTGTGGGAAAGAAAGTCAGTTTTCTCTAAGGGTGTAGCATCTAGTAGATCAACCATTCTCCAGGGGATTATGGCCCCAACCCCATGAGTACAAGGGCAACACAAATTGGGCCCAGTGGGTTAAAAAACAAACAAACAAACATGAAATTAGGAGAGGTGGTGAGTAGGAGGATCAATCTGAAAGAAACTAGGAGGAGTTGGGGGTGAACGTGGTCAAAATATATTGTATGCATGTACAAAATATCACAGATTTAATAAAATATTACATAGGCATGCATATACATACATAGAATCATGACTAGACTGGAAACCAATCTGAGGACATAGATTAGATGTAGAAATGAGCTAGAAAATCAGGCTGGGTTGTATCATTATAGACCTTCATGGCTCAAATCTGGGCATGGTAGTTCAGAAAAAGTGGAAAAATGATTAAAGAAAGAGAGCTATGAAACCTTATACAGAAAGGTTTTCATATATAACAATTTCATTGTTACATCCTACCTTGTTTATGTGAAAGGAAAAGCAACTTTCACCTTCATTTTCTTTTGTTATTACTCTAACCAGAACACTTGTGCATGAAGTCTCAGGCAAGAGAAAGGATTGCTGGCTCGCTACCAGTCTGTGTACTGTGAATAGGCCAGTTTTCTTGAACCACCACATCCTAAGACTGGCTGAAGTTCCTTTAAAAGGACATCCTGTTTCAGTCTTTACTGCACTGACCCTGGCACCTAGAAGTCTGGGTCAACTGTGATCCTGGGATATACTTTTCATAGGTAAACCTTCCCAGGTATATGAGCCAATTCATAGTGAAGAGAAATGCAGAATATATCATAATGCTATATATTATATGATCATAAATGCTATAATGTAGTCATACTATTTTTATAATGTAGACACAAAGTACATGCTTACACATACATTCTTTTTTTTTTTTTTTTTTTTATCATGCCAGAGCCTAAGTTTAGGCTCTGTTATTGAGATGCACCTATACTGTGCATCTATAAAGTTCCTTCGGGTTAGCTAAAAGACACTGAGTTTAGGACCTCGAGAGATGGCTGGGTAGTTAAGAGTACTTACTACTCCTGAAGAGGGCCCAGGTTCAGTTCCCAGTACCTACATCAAGTAGTTCCTAACCACCTGTAACTCCATTTCCAGGGCATCTGATGCTCTCTGACCTCTGAACTGGCCTTTGAGGATACTTGCATGCATGTAGTATACACAAACTCATGCAGACACACACACACACACACACACACACACACACACACACACACACACACACACACACAAATAAATAAAAAGAATAAAATAATTTTAAAAAACATTAGGTTTTCATTTTTATAATGTATGATGCCAATAGTTGAATGGAGAACACAGATGATCTTAGTACTCCCTTGTTCTATCAGGTTACACAATCACCCCTTACTAAGTTTTTCATAGCTGGAGGGAATATATTAATGTATTGAAATATGCAGAACTAATGTCTGTGTTCAACTTTGTTCTGTTTTCAAATCACAGGTTCTTTTCCTTATTACTTATATTTAAAAAACAAATAACAAAAGTACCATAACCAAACTACTTTGATTTACAGCTTATGGGTAATTGGCCAGGATATGACTTGGATTTATTCACGTACCCGAAGTACTATTTCAGTGACCTGGAGTGTGTGCTCATCCCTCACGGCATCTTAGTGGACAGGTGAGTGCTGTGTCCTGTGTCAGCACTGCATTGGGGTGGCCCCCTCTTGTGTGACTCTTACTGTACTGTTAGGGACTTTCCTTGGTGGCTGGGAAAACTGTTATAGGGTAGCGAATTTGAACCCAAGGAGCAAGTGCACTCACTGAATGGTGTACATAGGCATTTACTCAGGAAGATTGGGAAGAAGGCTATACACATGTAAGCTATTATAAATAATACCCCGCCCCCGCAAAATAAAATGAAAAAACAAAAAACAATGCCCTGTACCAACCAGAGAGATGAGGTAAAGCATGGCTTTGCACCCAGAAACATTTGCCTCATGCTTTTCACAGACTTCTGGTTTAACCAGGGAATGTTGGGAGGTGAACTTTACCTTCGCAGGACGTGTTCTTAAAACCCTGACTTTCCCTGCAATTTCCTTTCCTCTGGAACAAACAGTGTGTCACAGGTCGGCCAGTCAGCTTGTGTATGATTGTGTCTATCAACGGTAATGCTTGGAGAATAATTGAATCTGCAATTTCAAACTATCTGTGGAGAGCACAGATATTTTCTCTCCCCTACCAGATCCTTCACTTCTAGTCCTGGACGCTTCACTTTACTCTTGGTTTTCAAAAGGCTGCCTTTGACTCCCTGCCATGGCTCCGGATTTGTAGGTGTAGCCCTTTAACAGAACTGCCTCAGTATCTAGACCACCTAGCCCACTCCTGTACCAAGACTGAATAAGTAAATCTTCACCTTCAAAGGAAGATGCTTAAGGTCTGAGATCAGTGACTCTGAAGAGGCCCAGAATCCAGAGAGGAAGACAGTGGAGACTGAAAAGCTGGAGTCCCCAGGCTCTTTCTTCCCTATGTTCCATTTCTACCTCTATTGTTTTTTAGTCTGTTATACTCTTGTGAGGATAAATTTAATTTTGTGAACCAAGTCCTCAAAGCAAAAGAAAAGTTCAAACATATCCACACGGCACTCCCACGTATTATCTTTCTATCAATCCCTGTCAGTAAGAAAAAGGACTTTTCATTCATACAAATTCCTAGATTGTGTAAGATTTCTATTGCCTAAGACTTGTATGTTGCTTATTGTCTCAACTCAAAAGGGTATCATAAAAATTAAGTTCCAGTTTGGAGTTTATCATGGCCTAAGATGGATTTCCCGTGGCAACTACATTTGATCTTTAGAAGGAAAGAATTTCCATCAAATAAATTTAGGGAATTTTACAGTTTTCCAATGTGCAAAATCTCATTAGCATATTAAAGGTTGGGAAATTTGCCACACACCCCCGCTCCCTGAAAATTGTAACGAAGGCTCTCGACTTAAATAATTATGTCAACTTAATGTGTGCAAAAAGAAACTTCATTTACTAGCTTTTTCATACACCTCAAATGCAGTCTCCTCTAGTATCAGTTTGGGAGGCTCCATGTGTAAACAAATTCTTACTTTTCTCACTTGAATGTTGTGGTTTTAGTTAACCGTACCCTGATAGAAAACATGGTTGTGTCTGGGTAAGATGACCTTAGCCCTTTCCCTATACAGTGGCACCACCCAGTGAACTTGGTGGAGTGTGTATTGTTATCCTTTGTGTCTAAAAAACCCTGCATCAGTGGTCCAGAGTGGGGCCCAGGATTTCAGTCCTCACCTTTAAAACAAGAATTTGACATATTTGACAGACTGCAGAATTCGCCCATTATGGGGGAATGATTCCATGATATCAGTATATTTTTACACTTGGGCCCCATCTCCACTATCCAGTCTTGCGATTACATTAACCTACTGCCAGACAGTCTCTTATCAGCTTTGTTTCCCTGGAAATTTCTCTGAATGTGTCATGGAAATAAAGTCATAAAGTATCTAATCATCAATCCAGCAGCCAGCGAACTTTTGGACTCCTAATTTGGACCTGTGAACAGTATATGTAGAGTTCATGGTACAGATGTACCTTTTCGTTTCTCCTCAATGGGGTCCTTAGGGTAGAATTCTGGGCTTCCTGGTGAGTTTCAACAACTGCAGGTTGTTTCCCAAAGAGGCTGGTCCCAAAAGGACCCCAGTTTTCTTTGCATCCTTGCCGACATCGTGTATTGTCTGTCCTTTGGGTCACCAACATCCTAGTATATGTATAATGTTATCTCCCTGTGATTTGAACTTATACTTTCTGAACCATTAGTGTGCTTATTGGCTACACAGTCTTTTTCTGTGGGAGTTAAAAGTGTTTATTCAAGCCCTTTGTCGATTTTCTTATTTGGTTGTTTGTCTTCCTGTTGAGTTATAAAAGGTTTAAATATATAATTAATAATAATGTAATTTATATAAATATGATTTAAATTATATAAATATATAATTAGATATATTAGATACAACTCCTTTATTAGGTTACGATTTATATTTTTCCAGTTTGTCTGGTTCTGTCATTTTCTTGTTGGAATCTTTTGAGAATAATTTATATTCTGTTGTTTGGTGGAGTGCTGTACACATATCAACTGGATCCAGCTTACTGATGGGTTGTTCAGTTCAACTTTATCCTTGTTGATTTTCCAAGTGCTGGATCTTTCATGCCTGGTAGAGAGAGTGCAGAAGCCTCTAAAGGCAGTGGTAGATGTGTCTGTTTCTCCTTGTTCTATCAGTCATCTGGCACCCTTAGGGAACAGTATACAGTATACAGTATACGTGTATATGTGTACAGTAGGAATTTTTATGTTTTCTTCAGGAACTGACAGAGATTGCTGAGGATGCAATGACTGTCTTTAGTCCTAATCATTTTCCTATATTCTGACTGAAAGTAAGATAGCTTCTTCAGCTTTCTTTTGATTGCTATTAGCATGGCATGTCCTTCTCTATCCTTTCACTTTAATCTGAGTCCTTATGTTTAAAGTGGGATTTGGGGAGCTGGGGAGATGCTCGGGGGTAAAGTACTTGTTGTGCAAGCATGCAATTCTAAGCTAGAGCCCCAGAACCCAGATGAAAAGGCTGGTATGGTAAGCTATACCTATAATTCCAGCTTTGGGGAGACAGAGACAGGCAGGTCCTGGGGCAGGCAGGGAAGCCAGTTTACCCTAATTGGTAAGCTCCAGGACCCACTGAGACCCTATCTCAAAAATATGATGAACAACTCCCACAAAATGATATGCTAGGTTGACCTCAGGCATCCAAACATACATAAACTTGCATATATATGCATGTAAACATGCATGCACACACATACACATACACACACACAGACACTATGGTATGTATGTACATATACATAATACACTAAATAAATAAGTATAATGGAAAATTTATGAATTCAAATACCTAAGGTCATGCCAGATATTCTGATGTACAATCTTTGGGTGATAAAATTTAGATAAACACTACCTGAAAACAGCTAACATTCTACATGTGTATATATATGAACACTTGCAAAGTGTAACATAGAATCCATATCACATATATAGAGCATGGCGATTATAAAAATGTATGCATACATACATAATTCAGTTTTTCCATTTTAATGTAATCCAACTTTAAATGCTAGTGGGGATTTTCTTTTTGCAGCACAAGCTTGATATCCTGCCTCTGTTTAAGTTTTTTAGTTTTGTGTGGGGAGTAGCTATGTCCTTGCAGACATGGGAGGAGTAGAAGCCTGTGAAGGTAGTTCCAGTGAGCTGCCGGAGGCAGGCCAAGGCCTGTTCATTGCCTCCAGGGAGCATCCTCCATATTGGATTTCATGCTGTATTGCACCTCTTGCTGTTGTATGGGGGCATCTTTCCCATATGTGGTATGCTCCTTTGGTGAGTATATGACTTTTTTTTTAAAGTTACTCTGAACTTGACTTTTCTTCCAGTGTAAGGTGAGTGAGTCACTCCCTGTCGTAGGGTTTCTTTTGCTGTGATAAAACACCAGGACCAAAAGCAGCTTGGGAAGGAAGGGGTTTATTTCACCCTACACTTCCAGGTAACAGCCTGGAAGTGTAACAGTAACAGGGAAGTCAGGACAGGAATTCAAGCAGTGTGGGAACTTGGAGGCAGGAACTGAAGCAGAAGCTACAGAGGAAGGCTGCTCACTGGCTTGCTTCTCATGGCTTGCTCAGCTTGCTTTCTTACACAACCCAGGACCTCCTGCACAGGAATGGCACCCCCCACAGTGATCTGAGCCCTCCTCCATCAATCATTAACCTGCACAGTACTCCACAGACTTTCCTACAGGCCAAACTTATGGAGGCATTGTCTCAATTAAGATTCCCTCTTCCTACCTAAGTCTAGGTTTGTATCAAGTTGACAAAAAACGATCAGCACTCTATTTCCACTTTCTTTGCTATGGAATGAAGCTATCACTAAATACCATAAAAACATTTTAACAAGCAGGTTCTGTAATGATAGGATGATAGGTAGCATGTATGATCTCTAACAGCTCACTGTTTCTGACACACAGGAGCCGTGATGTCGCTGTCGGAAGTATGTTTTGAACACTTTGTTCTCACCTTAACAGAACTTATCTGCCTGAAGCTTTCACTTTCCCAAGCTTTTCTCCATATTCATCAAAGTTATTCGAACTGTATGAAACATCATACGGTTTGCCAGTTGTACCATAATATACCTTTTATTTCTTACTTTCTTCAGAATTGAGCGTCTGGCAAAGGATATAATGAAAGACATAGGCTGCCATGATATTCTGGTCCTGTGTGTGCTGAAAGGAGGTTACAAATTCTGTGCTGATCTCGTAGAACACCTCAAGAACATCAGCCGAAACTCAGATTGATTTGTCTCTATGAAGGTTGACTTACTTCATCAGACTAAAAAGTTACAAGGTAAGTCATTGCATGTTCCATTTTTATTGCAGAATTATCAGAACTCACAATTCCTTAGTACAGAAGAACTAGTAAAGTTATGAAAATGAAGTCTTGTGTCTAAAACACTGAAATGAAAATGATGAGTATAGTTTTTGTTTTTTTTTCAAAACAGGGTTCCTCTGTGTAGTCCTGGCTGCCCTGGAACTCACTCTATAGACCAGGCTCACCTGGAACTCAGAGATCTGTCTGACTCTGCCTCCCAAGTGCTGGTATTAAAGGCATGTGCCACCATGCCCAGCTTGAGTGTAATTCTTTTAATGTACAAAAATATGATGATTATAAGAATTTAAATAATATTCTTCTATTTTCACATATGTGGAAAGACTCTTTGGAAATGATTCCTGCATTTGTTCATGTGACTAAAGCTGATGAGTGTAGTCAATGTAAAGAAAGTCTGGTGCTTACTGGCTTGCTTGCCATGGCTGTGATGGGAGTGCCACTGTCCCCAGTAAGCTGGGCTCTCCCACATCAATCAAATCAAACCATCAATCATCAATCAAAAAATGTATTACAGACTTGTCCACAGGCCAGTCTTATGAAGGCATTTTCTCAGTTGAGAGTCTCTTCCCAAATGACTTTAGCTTGTGTCAAGTTGACATAAGAATCCTGACCAGCAGTTTCCTCTTTCATTCGTTGGTTATTTTATGTTTAGTTTTCAACCACCTGCAAGAGGTTTCCAAAGACTTTTTATTATTTCTGCTCTAATTCTGTTTCAAAAAAATTATACTTTGTAACCGTTCTGTCCTTTTGAATTTTTTGAGGCTTGGTCTACTGTCTTGCTGAAGCCAACAGTGCTATACTCCATACCATGTTAACCTGTGCCGTGCTTTTTCTAACACTTTGGAGCCTTTTCACTGTCTATGTCTCTGAACATCCTCTCTCTACTTTTCCCAGGTTTCCACCTAGAGGTACACATTCCAAAACTTAAAAGATATGCTAAGCCACCCTTGTATGATACAGGAAAATGCGTTCATTCCTAAAACAGAGACGTGTTCATTAACACTTCATCTCGGCAGGCGTTTTTTTAGTTGCCATGTTATTTCCTGGGGATGGGGATGCTGTGGTTCTTACCTGGGGCTCCCAGGGAGAAGGGAGGCAGCAACCAACATCATCTCTTTACCACTGACATCCAATCTCACTTCTTGTGCATCTTTGTTTCTGCTACTCACCTGAAGTCCTTTGAACCCCAACTGTGATGTCTCTTCTCTTCTAGTCAAATATTTCTCCTCTTGTCTATCACCAAGGTAACACAAGCCATTACCTCATGTAACAGTCACCTGCCTGCTCACTCAGATAAGATATCCCTCTAACTACGTATCACCCAAAATGGAGGGGAAACCCATCGTTATAGTCTGACCCATGGCATGAGCAACTCTCCACCCATGGCACACAAGCTGTCCCCATTCAGAGATGCCTCAGTTGCTGGGTCATGCTGGAACTGGTCATCCCCTTACAAAGTTCTTTCAGCATGCCTGAGGGCAGAGGTCAATAAAAACAAAACACTTTACATGAGGAGGAGGGACTAACTCACTTTCCTCTGAGGCATCTGGTACTTCTCCACTCCTCCACACCTTTGCACAGGGTTTACACATCTTGAAACTATCTGTGTGATGACTTGAGTCTGACTGTACCTCCACAGCCCATGTTTAAATGTTTGCCTCCAGCTGGTGGTACTCTGGGAGGCTGTGGGCCCTTGATGGAGAAAGTAGGCCACTTGGGTTGGGGGTCATGCTTTGAAGATTATAGTGTGGATCTAGCTCCTGTCTTGCTCTCTCTGCTGCCTGGTTTGCTGTGATGAGATCAGCCTGTGCCACATGCTCCAGCTGGTCTGCTCCTCTACACCTTGGGGACTGCAACCCTGACCATGCATCCTTCTTCTTATGTTTCTGTCAAGTACTGTGGTCATAATGACAACACCACCACCAGTCTGTTCATCACTCTGAAAATGCCCTCACATACGCACCCACAGATAGATGTCTCTCCTGCTGTAAGTGGAAAGTGAAGAGCAACCACCACAACTTGTATCCTGTTGTCTGATGAAAACTAGGGTAAATTAAGTATGAGACTGAATGACAGTGATGGTTTGCTACTCTTGCATTTCAGAGCCCTGGGTAGGAGCTGTTTCCTCATGTACCCTGGGAAAGCTATGATATGATTCTGAGGCTAACAAGAGGAAAGTTGGCTTCTGTCTTCCCAGCCCTCACTCAGCCTCTGTAGGTTATATCAAGAGTACTCTTCCAAGGATGCCCCATTGGACCTTCTTGTGGGACAGATGGCTTTAAACAACTCAGGGATCTAGGCAGTCCACCTTGTCTTTGTTCTTATATTGAACTTTATAGAGGACATGAAATGAATTCGCATGAATGATAAGAATCTAGAGAGCGATTGTTTAGAAATTGGCATAAGACTGATGTATTTTTTAAGATTTCTAAAGATTTATTTATTTTGTACTTTATGTATATGAGTGTTCTATTTGCATGTATGCCTACATGATGGAAGAGGGTATCAGATAGAAGAGGGCATCAGATCCCATTATAGATGATTGAGCCACCATGTGGGGGCTGGGAATTGAACTCAGGACCTCTAGAAGAGTAGCCAGTGCTCTTCACCACTGAATCATCTCTCCAGCGTGAGACTGATGGATTATGGGCATGGTAAATATTCCTGTTCTTTAATGGAAGGGGGGCCCTGGCAACTTGAATTCCCTAACACTGCAAAAGTTCCCTCCTTCCTGCCTCACCCCATCCTTCATAGCAGTCATGTCTTATTTAACCCTATCAGAAATCCTCTAGGGTTCTCTCACACCTGAGTCACACAATGTCACAAGCCAGAAAACAGTAGCAATGGTGCTGTAATCCATGTCCAGCTGTCTCTCAGGCCTGTGTCCAATGTAACATGCAAACATTTCCCACAGAATTCCTCATGGTTTTCCCAGAAAACTTCATCATTTTATAAGCTATTGATCTGTTTGCTAACATTTTAAGAAATCAGTTATATTTTCTTCTTAAAATACACACAAGAGAAATACTAAGTATGTGTAAATAGTTGTAATCATTATGTAATAATTTGCTTTCAAGAAACAATCAAATCTGAAAATCTTGTATGAAAGAAAATAAATTACATGTATGACATTCCATATGCACACATGTGTCTGTGTTCAGTAGCTTGTCCTGTAATAGTGACAAAATTTATGTTACTATTCACCATTTACTTTATTTAATGAGAAATCAAATTGATTATCTCTCGTACAAGTTTACTTGTGTGTGGGCCTGCACTGCTCAGCTGCTAGAACCCAAAGGCACATTGCGTCTTGTGACCATGTATTTTCCGATACTGCTTTATATATTTAAATTTCTAAAGCCTTTTTTTTTCTTAAACTACTTAAAGTCGTTTATTTTTCTTAAACCCAACACATGTGTGTTCACAGTGAGACAACTAGCGTGGCAATTGTCTGGACTACTGTGGGTAACTGGAAGCCCTTCTCTTACAAGCCTCTAAAACTGTTAGGGGAAATGGATTCATATAGCATTTCAAGTGCTTAGCGGTGCTCACAAAAAGGCAAGAAATATTCAGGGGCCAAAATGAAAAGCATGATATCCGAATGTAAACAGTGGCGGAAGTGAGACTGGAGTAAAAGTTCATCCATTTTGGCAGTCTGGTTTTGATACTCATATAGAGACAGATGAAAAAGTCTTGGATTCAAATAAAATTGGAAGCTGAATGAGACCCTCCTCTAATAAGCCAGAGTCCTCAGCCATGCCTGCATATCCTTGTGGGGGAGGATCCTTTCAGTATTGGGAGATCCAAAAAGCTAGTTTATCTCTCTTGACTGGGATAAGAAGAACGTAAACTCTTTTCCTGTATAATATTTTAGTGTGTGTGGTTCTGGGGACCAAACCTAGGTTGTCACAAATGTTGGCAAGCATACTATTACACAGCCTCTTGTGTGATTTTGAAACACTAATCTGTAAAACATGGAGCTTGAACCCTTAGCTTACTTTACCTTTGTAGTTTCAGAAACACCATTCTAAGACCTGAATTTTAAAACTCATCTCAGTCCACAATGTCTTCATGTTGCCCTATAGAAGCCAGTCCAAAACCTCTCTGCAGGGAGCATGCCAATCCAGGGAAGTCTCCTATAAACAAACTCTCATTTCACCTAAATGCAGCTGAGCTTGAGAGGCCTTCTGTAGTACCTGTTCTATGGGCTGAAGGTAGACATATGGGAGATTTGGGCTTGCAGGCAAATGTTGTTAGGGGCAGAAAATAGATTTCCAGCCAACTTTTTTGCATGAGATTGTGGTATTTGCCAAACTTTTCTCTTTTTCTTGTTAAATGTCTTAGTTTAAAGGTTCATCAACTTACACATAAACAGTGTGAGGGTATAGCACTCAGAATCGGTTGATTTTTCTACCAATTTGGTTAGCTTACCTGTGAGCACAGAAAGTATTCAAGCATCAAGGCTTTAGAGCTCCAGGAGAGATGCTATTTTAAACAGGCTTGACTTCGCCCGCATCCACAGTCCCCTACCCCACCAGGTCTTTGAATATACTGTGCTTTGTATTAGTTCATAATTCTTTTGTGGAGGTAACATCAAGAGAAAGAAAAAACTAGGAGATAAAACACAACCCAAAATATTACCACAGTAGGTTTGTGATATTAACCACACAAGGATGTGAGCCCCTGGGAAGCTGGCATCAGCATTAAAGAGGCACTCCAAAGCTAGTGGCTAACCACAGACCTGTTCCCAAGAAGGCAGAGAAAAGCTAGCATCTGTTTTCTCCCCTCTTGTTGCCACAGCTGAGAACAAAGGTTTAAGTCAGTCCTGGGTAATCCATACTGGTGAGCATGAACAGGTTGGATAAAGCAGCCACAGCATCCCAGTATCTCAGGATTTGTCTCCCTCACTTTGACCTGTACCAGGCCTTTGCTGAATGGGTATTGTTCCTTTCTTCCTCTGAGAGTCTATTAGTTACATAAAATAAATGGTTTTATTATGTCATTTTCCTACTTATATAATGTCCTTTGTTATTTCTATATCTCTGTCTCTGTATGTCAGTCTGTCTCTCTTCTCCCTGTCTGTCTGTCTACCCACACCCCCCAACCCTCATGTAAGAAGATTGAGCTAAATTCTTCCTTTTCTTTAGGCAGTGGGAAATTTGCCCTTCCTGGAGTCTCATCTTGGACCTAGAGTGAAGACACAAGACTTCAGTATTTTAGAGTTCACCAGCTCTTAGGGATATTGGATCTGTTCAAAGCAGGTGTGTAAGTACACACACACACACACACACACACACACACAGAGAGAGAGAGAGAGAGAGAGAGAGAGAGAGAGAGAGAGAGAGAGAGAGAGAGCTAAATTAAAGGATGAGGAAGGTAACCTAAAACAAAAGGGTCAATGAATGACAAAAAAGGTCTAAAATATTTCATTAAATCTAAATTGGCTGTCAATTACACTTCTCTTTATGTTCCATAAAGGAGAAAAATAAGCCATGACATGATTGTTGAAGTGAATCCTGATTTTGGAGATAGTAAAAGTGAAAAAAATATGCAATTTGGAATTGATTTTTTTTAATGTAATAGTTCTCTCTCCCACCCCTTTAGCAATATCACTGCCAAGTATTTGACTAAATAAAATAGTATGAAAACATTGTCTCTACTCTTTGGTTCTTCTTAAATCTTGGATCCTGTAACATTGCTCTATGGCCTTTTTGATAAATAATGAACCATGGATAGGCCTAGCTTAGATTGAGCCACATAAAACATTAAAATTAATAGGAAGTTGGTGTAAAAGTCAGTGTATCATGTTTATGAGGCCTTTGGACAGAGATGATGAGCTGTGGCCATGTTCAGATTCATCCTGAAGCAGGGAGTTTGGACCACCTGCCTTTCTCTTTAACATCAAGGTCGTTTATTGTTGGTGTTGTTCCAAGATATTTTAAAATGTGCATGTGTGTTTTATCTCCATGTGTGTATGTTACCACATGTTCCTAGTGCCTGTAGAAGGCCAGAAGAGGGTGCTGGATCCCCTGAAACTAGAGTTACAGGTAGTTGTGAGCTGCTATATGGGTTCTGGGAATAAAACCTGGGCCCTCTGGAAGAGCAGCCAGTGCTCTTACCTGCTGATCCATCTCTCTAGGCCCTGACTTCTGGATCATGAGATATATTTACTACTGGATTTCAACATGCATGGTTAAAGAACCTTCCTTGCAGCATGTATCTGGCAGGGCTACTTTGAGATTTCTATCAAGTCAAAGGCATTTATTGCTATTTTCTTTAAAGTGGACCCCTAGTCTGTTCAACACATGTTAGTTTTATTGTTCTTTATGTTCATTTAATAAATACATGTGGATTTTATTAATGTACACTCTTTGTAGAAGACTTACTTTTTATTACATTTTTTAGTGTGTGTCCCCAGGCAGGAAGTGACATAGCAAGGAGACTCATATTTAAGGAAGGACAAGCAGGAAGTGGTCTTCCTCTTCCTCCAGCTCTTCCTCCAGCGGCGGGATGTGATCCACCAGCAAGGGAGGAAGCCGATGGAAGGCGTCTGATAAGATAAGTCTTATAAAATATATAGATTTATGATAATTTTAAGACTGAGCTAACATATGAGAATCCTAGTCATTGGCTAAGCAGTATTTGTACCTAATACAAGTCTCTGTGCATTAATTTGGGCCCTGTCAGAGACCGCCCACGTGGCTGTAGGGCTCAGGCAGCTTTTGGTGGAAAGATTTATTGTAAAGCGCGCGCGCGCGCGCGTGTTTGTGTGTGTGTGTGTGTGTCTGTCTGTCTGTCTGTCTGTCTGTAAGTCAGAGGACAACTTGCAAGAGTCACTTCCCTCCTTCTACCATGTAGGTTCTGGGAGTCAATCCCAGAACTTCAGGCTTGGTGACAGATGCCTTTACCCATCAAGCTATCTCAACGGCACTGTTAATGTGCATTCTTTACATTCAAATTTAGTTTTCTACAGAGATGTCTGTTTAAGTTTGACTTCTCCAATGAAAATCAAAAGGTGGGACAGCAAGTAAGAGAATAATGCAGGAAGAGGCTGCTAAAGTATACAGGAAACCAAGCTTAGTGAAAGTCTTCTGAGGATGGAGTTATTGCCTATGTCAGTAAGTGGAACCTGGTTACTGCTGAACCAGGAGAAGTAGAAGACATGACTTTGGAACGTGGCATTGCGGCTGTAGAAACTAGCTGAGTCCAGGCCACAGTCCCAGGAAGTAAGCAAGAATATCCATCAGTTTGTGCAAGTGAGTATTACTGCACATAAAACGCAATTCACTGAGCATTTCTGGGTGACCACAGTTCTGAGTATGTGTCAACTCATTAAACTTTCACAGGCCACGCCTCCCCCATCCCATGCAGCCTCCCATCAAGTCAGGGATACTTACAGTTCCTTTGCAAGCAAGGCTATTGAGGTCAGTTGTAGCTGTGTTTCCAGGACTCACTTCTGGAAAGTGAGGCTCTGCTTCATTCTAGACCCACAGCTTGTAATCACAACTTGTCTTCTGTGACAATCAGGGTTTCTATTGCTGTGAAGAGACACCATGACCATGGCAACTCTTATAAAGGAAAACATTTCATTGTGGCTGGCTTATAGTTCAGAGGCTTAGTCCATTGTCATCTTGGTGGGAAGCGTGGTTGCACACAGGCAAACATGGTACTGAAGTGGTAATTGAGAGTTCTTCATCCAGATCCACAGGCAGCAGGAAGAGACTGTGACACACTTCATCCAACAAAGCCACACCCACTTCAACAAGGCCACACCTCCTCATAGTGCAACTCTCTATGGGCCTATGGAGGCCATTTTCATTCAAACTACCACAGCTTCACCTTGGAGCATCTCTCCATACTCTCTCAGGTGTGGTGAGTGAACTTGAAGCAAGAGACTTGGATGTAGGAACTAGAACATTACAGAGCAAAACATACAGTGGGAGCTGAATCCTGAGAATAAGGCAGAAAGGCCAAAGCTAGCTAGAGAGGCACAATACTGGCATTTGGTACTGGGTTCTGTTTGCCTGCCTTGCAAGGGCAGTGACCCCAGCCCACCTAAGGACCAGCTTTATCTTAGTAATTCTGTAGCATTGTGCCAGAAGGTGAGGGTACCTTAATTATTAGGAAAGGGCTGCAGAACCTTGAAACCAATTAGGACCTGACCCAACAGAGTCTGTGTGCACTGCAAATATTGTTCCCATGATGCCTCTGGGATTCAGTACATTTCCTGCACCTGCACTCTTCATTTGTAGTTCAAAAGCACACTGGTCCCATGGATCTGAAGTATGCCATAAATACACTGCGTATGTTAATTTGCTTTTACTTATTTGTATCTGACTTGTCTCAAAAGGGTTATAACAATGTGGTAATTTGTTATAACCACATAACATCTAATTTCCTGCACAAAAATAATTACAGGCAATAAACTAATTTTCCTTTATAAGTTAGGCTGTTCTTACCAATGTTTAGTGACTGATGTTGAAGACCATTATAAATTTATATGTTCCATATGTATTTTATGAGAATATTGGGGCCTTTGTCAACCATTTTTACAAAAATAATTTGGTTTTGGAAGGGGAAAAATATAAACACAGACATATAATAAAATGGCTTAGAAAATTTTCACAGGAATAGTGTCTCTTTAAAAACCTTCTGTGGTGGTCATTGTTTGAATTTAATGCCCTGTTTCTTTTTAACTTTTTTTTATCTTTTATCTTCGTGTATGGGTATTTTGTCTACGTGTATGTCTGTGTACCACGTGCGTGCCTGGTGGCCACGGAGGTCAGAAGGCAGCACTGGACTCCTGGAACTGGAGGTACAAATGGTGTGAGCCATCACGTGGCTGCTAATAATAAAACTGGGGTCCTCTGGAAGCGCAATCAGTGCCCTTAACCACTGAGCCATCTCTTCAGTCCCCTTCTTCCTCTTTTAAATTGTAGGGTATATTTCTTTTAAGGCCTGAGCTTAGCATTGCTAAGGACAATCCTATCACTAACAATAAATTTTAACATATTGAAATGTTAAGGTTTCATAACTTTCACCGACAAGAATTACTTAGTTTTGTTAATTAAGTTGATACTCCCTGGCAGCAGAGTTTACAAATTGTCAGTCTGCCTAGGATTTTTTTCTCTACTTCAATAGAAACAAAACTGAAAAAGATAGTGACAGATTAGAAAATCATGCCATAAAAATAGGATGATTGCCAGTGAGGAAAACGGTTCCACATATTTCCAGAGCCTGCAACCCGTACCACAGCTGGGAGCCACAGCAGGCCTGATTCTGGAAAAGCATCTGCAGGGACTGGAAGCCACAGTAACTCTGCTGTGCCTTCACTGACAAAGTTGCTACAGCCTAGAGCAGTGATTCTCAACCTCTGGGTCGTGACCCCTTTGACCACCCTCTGACTTCAAAAAAATAGAATTTATGTTACCATTCATAACAGTAGGGAAATTGCATTATAAAGTAGCAATAAAAATAGTTTTAAGGTTGATGGTTAGCACAACATGAGGAACTGTGTTAAAGTTCACAGCATTAGCAAGGTTGAGAACCACTGGTCTAGAGAGACGTGTTGGGTATGTGACACCCAGAAAGTCACTGCTGAAGAACTGGAGTGGGCTGGCAGTGGTGGCACTCATCTTTAATCCCAGGGTTCCAGAGGCAGAGGCAGAGACAGGGGGATCTCTGGGTTCAAGGCCAGCCTTGTCTACAGAGTGAGTTCCAGAACAGCCAGGGCTACACAAAGGAAACCCTGTCTGGCAAAACAAAATGAAACAAAAGAACTGGAGTGGGCTTCCCTGACCTCTGGTTGAGTGGAGAGCATCTTGTACTTAGAACAGCTAAAAGGCTGTGGCACACTTCTGAAGCATTTGATCCCCAGCACTCCTCTTGTCCCCCAAAATCAAAACAGCCAACTCTGATATCTAAGAAATGAGAACGTGTGATGTTATCTCTCCTCATATTATAATTTTTAGATTAGAATTTATCTTTAGATTAATTAAGTAATTGGTGGTACCACTGGGGGTGCAAACCAGGGCCAACAAGGCAAGTGCTGTCCTTGAGCTGTAGCCCCAGCTCTGAAAAAACGGCTGCATACTTTCCACCCATCTCCGAGCCCATGTCTCTCAGGAAGTGACGTTCCTCCTGCTGTTTCTTTTAATCACTATGTCACACAGAGTAGCAACATGTCACATTGCAGGCAGACAAATGCTTGGCTGCAGAAGAAACACATCACAGTTTCTACCTCTACCTGAGATAAACTTAACCCACAAATCAATTTCACAAATGGTTGTTTTGTTTCACTCTCCTCCAATGGATCTTGGGGTTGAACCCAGGGCCTCGCACCTGCTAGGCCAACACCTTCATAGTTAGCTTTTTATTCCTGTGATAAATACCACGACTGAAAGCAGCTTGGGGAGGAGAGGGTTTATTTCATCTTAGTGCTGATTTGATCAGCTTTTCACATCATTGAGGGAAGCCAGGGCAGTAACCCAGAGGCCGGAGCTGAAACAGAAGCCATAGAGAAGTGCTGCTTACCGGCTTGCTCCCCATGGCTTATTCCAGAATGCTGTCTTTTACTACACAGGACCACCTTCCCAGAGGCATCACTGCCCACAGTGAGCTAGGCCTCGTGTCGAGCATGAATAAAGAAAATGCACCACAGACCTCTCCCTGGCAATCTAACAGAGCCGTTTTCTCAGTTGCCTTCTTCCGTGATGCCTCTAACCTGTGTCAAGTTCATATAACAACAGCCAGGACAGCCACATCCTGTGCCCTTGTAGGGCAGATCAGAGAAAAAAGAATACTGCATGGCATTCTTAAAAGCTAGAATTGTCAATAATTTTAGAAGATAACTGACACTGTTTTGAAAACTTGGGTAATGTATAATTTTTCATTTGATACAAGTAAACCCATGTCAGAGGTGGATGAGCCAAGGCTTCTCCAGAGGCATTCGCTCCCTTTATCAGCTACTTTGTTGGTTCAGTTGTTACCTGCAGAACAAATCTACAAAGAAAATTATCTCTTGTGCTTGTTAAATTAAGATATCCCTCTAGGGCTAAAGAGATGGCTCAGTAGTTAAGAACACTTGCTTTTCTTTCAGAGGGCCTGGCTTCAATTCCCAGCACCACATTGCAACTTACAACCATATGTAACTCCAGTCTCAGGGGACTGACACCCTTTGCTGGCCTCTGTGGGCATCAGGCATGCAAATATAGATATGGACAAAACATGTATACACATAAATAATAAAATGAAAGTCCTCTAGTACAAACATTTAGTTGAATGTATCCAAAATAATTTATTTCTATCTCAAAAATACTCTCTTGGGATGGGGTTATTGGGGAATTGGGAGGGTGGGAGGGAGAGGGAACTGGGATTGGTATGTAAAATAAGATTGTTTCTAATTTAAATAAAAATTAATTTAAAAAACAAGTAAGGAAAAAAGTACTCTCTTAAGTGTTTTTAGGCCTGTTAATCCCTAAGTTGTGGGCCCCAGTCTGATGAATTAGGTGACTACTATTACCCCCTATTACTATTACTATTACTATTACTACTATTACTATTATTTACAAAGAAGGAAAATGAGACAAAGAAAGTGCCAAATGTCACAAAGCCAATTGGGAAAGAGACCAAGATGCATAATTAAGCTGTCTGACCCCTGTAAGAATCAGAGCCTAACAGCCTCTCTATTCTGCTTCCAGTGACCTTGGTTCCCTTATTCTTTCTGGGCTTCCCCTTATTTTGGGAACCAGTAAGGCTGGCCTTCAAGCTCACTTGGTTCCCTGACAGATTTGAGTTTATGTAATCTTACTTAAAAAAAAAAACACTGGTTGCACCTCATTTTTGCTTTGCATTCTTCATTAAAATGACTTGAACATGTACATAAAACCTCAGATGAGAAGCTGAGCAGCAAAGAGACAGCAAAGCCAGAGTTAGGGAGCCTAATAGTGTTGGAGGTTAGACCTCAGGGCCTGGGGAAAAGATACCAGAGAAGGGCAGTTGTGACCTTGAGAGACTTGGCACTCTACAGACAGCAGGCACAGTGGACGTGGGCAGTGTCATTGTACAGACCATTTGCACATCTTGGTCACTGATCCCATTTACACTGGTGCACACTCACCTCCCCTTACACCCAGTTACCCATTGTTGCAGGAGACTGAAGATAAATTTTTCAGAAAAAGAAAGAAAGAAAGAAAGAAAGAAAGAAAGAAAGAAAGAGGGAGAGAAAGAGAGAGGGGGAGGGAGGGAGGAAGGAAGGAAGGAAAAGAAAATTGTCTAAAGGGTGGCTATTAAGTAAAACTGCTTTGGTTATACTCTCTGCATGAGGTTCTAAGATGGCCAGTGCCCCATCCAATCAGCTAGACATATTACCACTCTCTGCCCACACTAGTACCAGAATTGGACACTGGGTGTTCTGAGCAGAAACTGAATGGATCTGAAGAAAAGACCTCTATGCACGACACTGGAATTCCACAGCTGAAAAAGACATCTCTCCCATGGGAATCTCTGCTCCCCAGAGGATGTACACCCTTTCCTAGCAGGCTAGGCTGGAATCTCGTGTTAAAATATGAAAAGGCAGACAAAACAAAACAAAACCAACAATCAGAAAGGGATGCTCACGTAGAGAAATCCCTTACTTTTGCCCATCTTCTTGTGATCCCATGAATATGGCCACAGTTCTGGAGAATCACTTAAAGATGAATTAACATCTTTCTAAAAATTAGAGATTTTCTTTGACAGTCTAGTGCTTCTTAAAGTAAGACATCTTTACACTACACATTGTGATACTTATAATCCCAACACTTAGGAGGCTGAGGCAGGATAATTGTTAAGTTCAAGCCAGCTTGGGCCATATAATGAGATCACCAC